TCTTTACGGGAGCAGAACACTTCATCGTTCTCCCGAGAAGCGGCTGGTAGTTTCGAACTGCTGGCATTAAGGTTCACAGCCTGATTCGTAACCACTACACTACCAGAGTCATGTTTAAACTCATCATTTTTCGCCTCTTCCCACAACACACATATATACACATATGCATATGCATACATCATGCCCTCAGGGGTGATTTGATCCTTCAGATCACCCATCCCACCACTTTATAGCCATGTGACATATCCAAGTAACTTAGCCAAGACTTACTTTTTTTTAACTTGTAAAATGGGGATTGAAATATCTACCTCTTACTCTTATTGTAAGAATTACACAAGTTAACATAAGCAAAGGACCCATCATAGTACCAAGCATAGTGTATGTGTTTGTCAGATATTTACTAATTTCTCCAGCCATTGTGCTTGTCCCATAATAGAAAACCACTTCCGGCTTTCTGTATTGGTCCACAGAGCCTTCCCCATAAAAGGCATCAATGGTTGCTTATAGGTTTAAATCTTCACTCATTCATCCTCTGTTATTGCCACACAATATAGAAAGAACTTATATCCAACTTTTGAAACAGGGGAAAAAGGTATCCTGGGTCCAAGCAAGAGAGAGCAAACAGGGAAGCTCACACATCCCTCTCCCATATCATATAGCCTGTAGCACCCAACAGCTCTGTCTCATGGGCTTCTCCTTTTAGCTGTTTCTGCACTGCATAAGGTTCCCAGGAGGCCTCAGGTTTCTCTGACTTCTAAGGGTGTTGACTTCCTATAGTCCAGGTCAACTAGGCCAGTGTGGATCATAAGGCTGTATGTCAGCAGGGGAACATGGTGGCTAGTAATCAGTGGGAGATTTCCATAGCTCTAAGTATAACCCTGCCCATAGTGACATAATCATGAATGAACTGAGTTTTCTAGGACTTGGCTCTTAGTAGTTCAGGTTGCTCCCTACCCCCCACCTTGCCTTGTGTTCCCTTGAACAGAACCTTGTATCATTTTTTATTAATGAAATAATGGATTTGAAATTATCTTAACAGCTTTTAAGTACTTTACAAATTATTACTTATCTAAAATGGGTCTGAACTCAGAATATGCAGCACTGTTTAGACACTAGAAAAGCATCTGCTTCAATGAAGTTATTTTCTTCATTTGTTCAGCAGATATTTACCGAACCCACAAGGTACCGAGTCAGGCATTGGGTGTAATAATAAATATAAAGAAAGAGGTCTTGCCGTTTTATAGTTTACAGACTAATGGGGAGATAGACAATAGCTTATAAACAAAACAGATGCACAATTATAGAGTGTGATAAGTGATCTCAAGGAAATAAGGAAGTGCTATAGGAGATATGTTAGAGGACGCCTCTTAAGATGATATTAAAACTAGGAGATGAAGGCTAAGTAGAAGCCAACTGTGGGAAGATCAAGGAAAAGAACATTCTAGACAGGAAGAATTCCAAGTGCTAGAACCCTGAGACAAAAACAAGCATGACATACACATAAAATATCAAGGAAGCCAATGTAATCACAGCATAGTGAGCAAGGAGAGAAGATGACAAAACTGCAGACACAGGCAGGAGTCATATCGTATGTAGGTCCTTAGCTCCTCCGGGGTTAGGATTTTATTCTGAGTGTGAGACATGGAAGAGTTTAACATGTCAGTAACATAATTTATGTTTTTAAACATACTTATGTTTTTAAAAAATATTGTCTAGTGCGATATGGAGAAATATTTTAAATGAGCAAGAGTTAAGAGACTATTATAATATCTAGGCAAGAAGCAATGATTAATGGAATGGTGTGAAAGGGGAGGTCGTAGAAAGTGATAGAGATATTTAAGCATTTTAATTAAAGTATAACATATTTTGAAGGTAAGTTTTACGATCAAGACTTTGCTGGTGGTGGGACATGTAGAGAAAGGAGTCAAGGATGACTTCTAGGTAAGAAACTTGATTTAGTCATTTTGCCTAAAATGGCATGAGTAAGAAGAGAATTTGGAAAATAAAAGCAAGACATCTGTTTTGGACAGGTTAGGTTACGTTTGAATAAATCCTAGTAGGGGCATTGAGTAGGCAGTTGGATAAATGAGTTTGGGTCACTGTGTACAACCCAACTGAGGCTACAGATAAAACTTTTAGAGTTCTCATTATTTAGAGTTTACATGGTATTTAGAGCCACCAGACAGAATTAAGTGTCTTAGAAAGTCTTAGAAAGTGATTGTAGGTAGAGCAAAGAAGAGGTCTGAGAAGAGAGTACTTAAAAGTAGATGATAAGGAACCATCAATGGATGCCAAGGGAAGAATATCCATAAATCTGTGAGAAAAAATGCAAAGAAAGAGTTTCAAGGTGAGGTGATAATCAAGAGGTCAGATTCTGCTGAGATATTGAAGAGGTTGAATACTGAGATTGAGTTCTATATTTGGCAACATTGGAATTGTTGGTGACCTTAATAACTGATTTTGTGGAGGGCGTAGAGGAGTTTGAACTAGTGGAAAACTGAAGTTTGATATGTTGTTGTTAGGTGCCATTGTGACCCAGTGTACAACAGAACTTAACACTTCCCAGTCCTGTGCCATCTTTATAATTGTTGTGTTTGAGCCCAACGTTGCTAACACTGTATCAATCCATCTCATTGACGGTCTTCCCCTTTTTCACTGGCCCTCCACTTTACCAAGCATGATGTCCTTCTCTAGGGACTGGTCACTCCTGAAAACATGTCTAAAATATGAGACATAAAATCTCACCATCTTCACTTCCAAGAGCAAACTGGTTGTACACTTTCCAAAACAGATTTGTTCATTCTTCTGGCATTCTATGGTGTAGTCAATATTCTTCACCAACACCATATTTCAAATGCATCAATTCCTTGGTCTTCCTTATTCATTGTCTGGCATGCATATGAGGTGATTGATAATTCCATGGCTTGGGTAATCTTTGCCCTTTAAGACTTTGAAGAGGTCTTTTGCACAGATTTGCCTATTAAAGTACATCGTGTGATTTCTTGATGACTATTTCTATGAGTGTTGATTGTGGATACAAATAAAATAAAATCTGGCAACTTTAATCTTTTTTCTATTTATCGTGATGTTATTTATTGGTCTACCTGTGAAGATTTTTTTTCTTTACATTGAAATGTAATTCATACTGTAGTCTTTGATCTTCATCAGTAAGTACTTCAAATCCTCTTTGTGTACAGCTAGTAAGGTTGTGTTATCTTCATATTGCAGATTGTTGATAAGTCTTCCTCCATTCCTGATGCCATGGATTATTTGTTTAGCATTGAATAAGTGTGGTGGAAAGACACACACTTTTCTGACACACAGCTTTCTGATTTTAAACCATTCAATATCCTTTGTTCCATTTGAATGAGTGTCTCTTGGTGTGTATACAGGTTCCTCATGAGCACAATGAAGTGTTCTGGAATACCCATTCTTTGCAATGTTATCCATAGATTGCTATGATCCACACGTTCAAATGCCTTTGCATAGTCAATAAAGCACAAGTAAATATCTATCTGGTTAGATGGCTGACGTGATCATTGGAGACAATGAAACTCCTCTTTAAAGAAATTTTGTTGTAAGGAGCAGAGAAATGGGGCCATACTGGAAGGTTATTTCAAGAATGCCATTGCATAGTCAATAAAGCACAAGTAAATATCTATCTGGTTAGAATGGCTGAAGGAATAATTGAAGATGAGGACACTCCTCTTTAAAGAAATTTTATTATAAAACAGAGCAGAGAAATGGGGCCATACTGGAAGGTTATTTAAAGATGAATGATCTTACAGGTTGCTTGCTGATGGTAATGATCTAGTAGGGAGGAAGACTATTGAAACAGGCAAAACAAAAACAAAAACCCATCATCGTCAAGTTGTTTTAGACTCACAGTGACCCTATACGGCGGTCAAAATGCTTTTTAGGGTTTCCAAGACTGTAAATCTCTATAGAAGCATAGTCTCATCTTTCTCTCTTGTAGCAGCCAGTGGGTTTGAACCACTAACCATGTAGTTAGCAGCCCAACACTCAATGTACTGTACCACCAGGGCACCTTATTGAAGCTGGTGGTGGTGATGTGCCATGGAGTTGGTTCCAGCACATAGCGACCCTGAGTAGGGTTCCCAAGGCTGTAAATAAATCTTTGTGGAATCATGAGAGGGGGGAAATTTCATATGATCTTTTTAAGGTTTAGAGTTGATACTATTTTTTATCCCCAATACTTCAAACTGTTCCAGGAACATTGCAAGCTCAGTTCATAGTACATATCCATTTGATGCTGTTATTAAGTGTTGTTGAGCAGTTTCTAACTCGTAGTGACCCTGTATAGGATTTCCGTAGAGCAGCTGGTGAGTTTGAACCGCTGGCCTTTCAGTTCAAACTGACATTATGGTAGAGTGCTTATTCTATAGCTTCACCCTAGGACTCCAGATATCCATTAAAATCTTAGTAAATGCAATTTAATTTAAATTTAATATGCAATTTAATTTGCGTATTCTCAGGTACTCTAGAGAGAACAGGGTTAATGGCACAGCAAAGAGTTGTTTATATCTTGACCTAAATAAAATGAAGAGCCTTAAACCTAAACTATAACTCTTTATAGACCCATTTATTCATTTACTTTTTGATTCATTCAATCAAACTATGAAGTATAACTATGTATAATAAATTATCAACTATGTGTAATAAATTTACTATAGACATAGAAAGGGGAATATCTATGACAATAAGAAGTGAAAAAGAGAGCTTGGCATTGTGCTGAGAATTAAATGTCCTTTTTCTTAAGAAAATGAATGAAATACATGCCTTTGTTTAATTTTTGTTTTAGGACTTTCAGAGGGATGCTCTTTTTTTGAGGGCTATCATTTCACAGTACAATTGAAAATATTTCATCCTTATCAGTATTAGAGCTAGAAGGAAATAGAATTTACCAAGCATGATAAACCTTCCTAGAAAGACAGCTTACAAATATAAAGTAGTCTCCCTTTTTTCTTTTGCTTGGCCAGGTTGTAACAACATGCTGATGGGTATAAAGTCTCTGAAAATAGTGAAGAAGACTATGGACACAGATGGCTCTTGGATGAAAGATGGTGTCAGTGACTCTCCAAAAGTTTATTTCTTAATTGGATCCAGAAACAACACTGTTTTGGAATTTCCAAATTTACGGGCATTCATGGAGGATAGCACCAAGCCAGCCCCCCGGAAGTTAATCCTAACACATTCCTGGCAGGGAACAGGCCATGTGATCTACAAAGGCTTCCTCTTTTTTCATAACCAAGGGACTCCCAATGAGATAATCAAATATAATCTGCAGAAGAGGGCTGTGGGAGATCGGATGAGGCTCCCAGGAGGGGCAGGGAGATCACTGGTCTACCAGCATTCCCCTTCAACTTACATTGACCTGGCTGTGGATGAGCATGGGCTCTGGGCCATCCATTCAGGACCAGGCATCTATGGCCACTTGGTCCTCACGAAAATCGAACCTGGATCATTGGGTGTGGAGTACTCATGGGATACTTCCTGCAGAAGTCAGGATGCTGAAGCCTCGTTCCTCTTGTGTGGGGTTCTCTATGTGGTCTACAGTTCTAGTGGCCATGGGCCCCATCGCATCACCTGTGTCTTTGATCCGCTGGGCACTGTCAGTGAGGAGCATCTGCCTAACTTGTTCTTCCCCAGGCGGCAGAGAAGTCATTCTGTGATCCATTACAACCCTAGAGATAAACAGCTCTATGCCTGGAATGATGGAAACCAGATCATTTACAAACTCCAGACAAAGAGAAAACTGCATGTGGAATAAAGCATGATGGCCAGGAGAGAAAGCACAGTGGCCTTGGAAGCAGCTGTCCAGCTGTCCAGGACACTGAGGCCACTATCCCTTTGCACTATAGCATCCTTCTAACCACATGCAGGAATGGGGTCTAGAGGTGAGATTATCTTCCTTTCCCCGATATCACTGTTTCAGGTATCTTCCAAAAGCTTAGATGAGAGTTTATCATCAGATTTTTCTAAATGACTTCCATTATCCATTGAAACCTTCTGGCTTTCAAGGCCTTCCACATCCTCAACCTGTGTACTTCAAGCCTTTTCTTTAATGTATTTACTCTAATCTCCCTGCAGAGCAATACGGATTAAATGCCACCCCCCAATACTCATTTTTCTCTCCTCTGGCTTTGCTCAAATTCATATCTCTTTCTCAAATAGCTATTGATATTCTTCCATTTCTCATTGTCCAGTTAAGGCACAATTTCCTATTGATGTTTAATCTCTATTTTTCTCAGCCCTGCCCCCAGAATCATGTTGATGTAATACTAGAGTAATAGCATTAACATTTGAATACTACCCTTCAGTTACAAATTATTTGCATATATGTCATATCATTTAATTGTTATTCACTCTTATATGATGCGCAGAACAAATCTTAGAACTGTCAGTTTTGAGATGAACATATAGGTAAATCATTCAAAGTAACACAACCACAAAGTGAAAGAGTGAGCTAGTAAGCACTGCAAATCCCAGTCTTTCCACTAGCCATTGAAGCCTCAGTGCATGTTTGTTCTCCCAGAGTTTTATAAGCAGTATATTCATCATTTTAGCCTAAAACTACTGGTCTGCCCCTTTATTTCATGTTTGTACAAGACCTTTCCACAGATGGTTCAAAAACTCCTTCCTCCGGAAGATCAGCCTAAGGAATAGGAGCTCTCCTCCTAGCCTCATCTGGTCTGATACTCCCCTTCGTGCGTGAATTACAATAAAACTGACACTTAGCAAATGAATCTCTTCAGGTTATATTTGCCTACATCCCTTCAGCATAAAAGACTTCAGGGAATGCTGTGTGGGTTTGGGTTTACTATGAGCAATCCCCAAAACACGGAGGGCTTTGGCAAATAGTCTACAATTGGATGAATGCCAGCTAGCAGACAAACAAGCTCCCTGACACAGAAGGCGTGCATGTGGTACAGGGGCAGAGGACAGCTGTGCCTCTTGAGAGGGGCTTCTTCAAAATGTTTCCCACACGTTTATTCAGTCCTGCCAAGTTTGGGTCATAAGCGCAGGCTGTGGTGCCAGTCCGTGTCATGTGCTGAGGCCTCTGTCTTTCCAGGTTGGTCACATGAGAGGGTTTGCTTTGTGTGTTTGCAGCTGTTTTACCATCTCTGCCAAGCTCAGACCAGAATCATAGGCAGTGAAGAGAGATTTTTTTTTTTTTTTTCTCTTCCTCATAGCCTTTGAGTAGCTCTTTGGCAGAATGGAATTCCCCACCCTATGAATATAGCATAATTACCCACAATTCTAATAAAGTGATATCTAAACCCAACCCCACTGCTTTCAAGTTGATTCCGATGCAAGCGACTCTGTAGGACAAAGTCACACTGCTCCACAAGATTTCTTTACAAAAGAGCTTTCTCCTGCAGAACAGCTAATGGGTTTGAACTACAGACCACTGGGTTAGTAGCTGAATACTTAATCACTGAGTCATTAGGGTTCCTTAGTAAAGTGATACAGAGAACCCAAATCCTTTGGTGGAATGAAACATATAAATGAATATGTTGCTATTATCCACTCCATGAGTGCAGAGACATTACTTATTTCACAGAATTAGGAATGCTGTGTGCCTCATAGATTAGGACAAATGACATTATCAGCAGGAGTAAGGCTTGTGTACATTGTAGGGCCAGAGGCATGGATAGACTGGAATGTGCTTTAATTTGAGAGATCTGCAGTACCTGCCCATAACGGACCCTGGTGCCTTCAATTTCTGTAGCTATAACCACTGGTCTGGGTTAAGATAGAGTCTTAGGTTACTTACTGTGCCACTTTGTTTCTTGATAGTCCAGGCAGGCAAGGAATAGCATGCGAGACTTTAAAACCGACTTGAGCTTCTTAGAGGTGAATGTTTTAGCTCTGGGTTCTCCTACTGGACTTAAGTGAGGATGGAAGTTCCTGTGCCCTACACCAGTAGTTTTTAATTTTTGTGGCAAGTAAGAATCACTTAAGGAGATTTAAAAAAATCCCCATGCTCAAGCCATGTCCCAGACCACTGAATTCGGACCGCTGGAGGTGGTGGGACACCGATGTTAGTATTGTTTTACCCTTCTCCTGGTTCCAAAGTACATACAAGCTTGAAATGCAGTGCTTTATGCCATTATATTTTTGTAAATTTAAAAAGTAATTGTGCCTCTCTAATATGAAGATGTTTTATTTTTATGAAGTTTTTTTTATGACGATAAGGAGCTCTGGTAGTGTAGTAGTTATGAATCAGGCTGCCAACCTCAAGGTCAGCAGTTCGAAACTACCAGCGGTTCCGCAGGAGAAAGATGAGGCTTTCTGCTCTTGTAAAGATTTACAGCCTCGGAAACCCTGTGCAGGGTCGCTATGAGTCAGAACCGACTCCACGGTACTTAGCAACAACAACAACATGAAGATAGTATCAGTGATCACTTTATGAGTCTTTGAATCAACACCCTATTTTTCTAAAATTCTTTTTATTATCTAGTCCCAATTTACCAATTCAAATTCATCATGTATAATTTGATCAGGTGTGACCAATAAAATTGATCATCCCCCCAAATAAAAGTAATTGCTACAGTTCTAAGAGCTCTGGTAGCGTAGTGGTTACGAATTGGGTTGCGAACCGCAAGGTCAGCAGTTGGAAACTACCAGCTGCTTCGGGAGAGAAAGATGAGGCTTTCTGCTCCCGTAAAGCTTTACAGCCTCGGAAACTTGTACAAGGTCACTATGAGTCAGAACCGACTTTACTGCACTTAACAAACACAACAGTTCTAAGAACAGTGTAGGGTTTTCTGGAGTCAGGGAAGTGAGCCCACTGGGGGGCACTAACGTGGGGGTTTGAAACACTCATGAACTCATGTGAACTGTAACAGCTTTGGTCCACAAAAGCTTCTCTGCTGCTATTTTAAGGAAGTGAAAGAGAACTGAAGGGTGTCCTGTTGTAACACAACGCTTGTGGGCCCCAGCCTTCCTCTGCTGGCTTTGCTAGATGTCTGCTGCTGGCCAACTTTCCTGCAGTGACCACATGTCCCCTATTTCCAGGGTGGCTTAAGTTCTGCTCCAGTGTAAAAGTCTTCTGTGCACACTGATAATGTCAGACCACAAGGATCTATCTGGTTGGAAAAAGGATGCATCCTTTGGAATTCACTGACAATTGCAGTCTCATAGAGACTGCAGATAAAAACTGAGGCCAGGACTGTGGTGACTCCTGCTAGTGTTGGAAACTGCCAGAGTCCCTGGGGCCGTTGACATCTGTGGCCCACAGGGATTTTAATCAGCTGCACTGAGGAGTTAAACTCTGGAGGCCCAAGCCAGGAAAAACCTTACAGTACAAAGGGAATTCTGGCCACACACTCAAGGATAGATGTTGGGACTAGATCTTCAAGGCCCAGTTGTTCTGTCTTATTTCCAGAATCCTCTCCTGTTGTCAGACTTCACCAAAGCTTTCTTCTGTCCACATGAAAACCCACCTCAGTGCTAGGGAACAGCGAAGCGCTCCAAGTTTTCAGCTGTTCAGCCCTTAGTACATCAATGACTCTGGTTGGCACCAACCACTAGAGGGAACCTCCACCCCACATCGCGGGGTTCCAGGGCAGCAGAGTTTAGAGTGCCTGGGAGCCATCGAAATTGGGAGGCTCAGAAGGAAGGCAAGAGGCTGCCCCAGGCCATGCTCAGTTTCTAGGAATCATAGGGGGCTGGGAAATCAGGAAGCCTGATGGGTTTCTGCTTTGGGTGTGACCCTACTCCAGCTGGGTGTGTCTCTAATCCAGGTTTTTGTCTGCTTTCTCTGTAAGAGCAATTCTTGACACAAGTTCCCTTTTTGGTTCCTCACATTCATCCCCTGCAGCTAGGGCGCGGGGCTAGGGAAGCCCAGAGGTCTAGAAACTTGTGCACTGAAAACTTTCCAAGAGGGCCAGAAGAGTGCGGAAGCAGGTCGTCAACGAGGGGGTGGGGCTCCAGATAAGGGGCGTGGTCTACTGGTAGGCGGGGCTTGGGACTGGGACTGGGACTTGGAGCGCGGCCCAGGGGGCAGGGTAAAGTTCAAGGGGGCGGGGTTGCCGAGGCTGGTCCCTCAGGCAGGATCGCCGGGCTGGCGGGTCCTTGCTGGCGGTCTCCGGGCCTAAGGGGGTAAGGATGGCTGAGGGGCGGTCCCAAGGGAATGTCCCTGGGGTGGAGGAGTTGACGCTCCGGGACGAGCCTCCCGCAGGTCCCCGCCCCGGTCACGTGGGCTCCGGACCAGCCGCTGCCGCTCGGACCGCTGGTTGGTCGGTCAGTTAGTTGGTCGGTCGGTCAGTGGCCTGAAGCTCGCAGCTCAGCGCTCGTGTTCCGAGGTGGGAGGGACACGGGAGCGGCCCGCACACCTGAGTCGCCTGGACAGAAGCAGCGACCCGGTACCCAGGTCAGTGGTCTTCCCCCATATCCCCGGGGCCGCCGAGCCATTGACAGGAAACCCCGCAAAGGCATTGCCTGAGAAACGAAGTGCTCCCTGGGCCGGGAACCCCTCGGGGCGTGGGGGCCAGTGTTAGTTGGGCCCTGCAGCGTGTCCTAGGCGCGAGGTCGCGGACTCTTCCACCTCCCCCTCCTCTGACAAGAAGACTGGGAGGAGAGCGTAAATCCTGGGGATGTGCTCGGAATCGCCACCCGCGCACAGTCAGCGCCCTACAGGTGCCAGGTTGGTCCTAGAGAGGCGGAGGGTGGTTGTCCCCGCCGAGTTCTGTGTGGGTTTGTCAAGGTGGCCCAGAACTATATGGCCTTAATTGCCCAGGCGAACCGCAGCTGAGACCAATTCTGTGCTGTAGTTGCAAAATTACAAAAATACAACATACTTTTCAAAAACTCAATCTGCTGTGCCCCAGTTGACTTAATGATGGGCCTAGTACTATTTGAAAACAAGCACTCCTCCCTGCCCCCCATCTCCCCTTTGTCCCCCATCCAACCCCTCCCCCGCTCCTAGTCAATGAGATCCTGACTACAAACCTGAAGCTTTTTCTCAAATGAAAATAAGAAGATTATGTATTGAAACACCAGAACTTCCAAAGTTTGGTTGGAACAGGAATTCTAGCAACGTTTAATCCTCTTTAAAATCTTCCGAGTGTTGTATTTTTACCTTTAAAGCCGGTGGGTATTTGGTATAGGTCCCTCTCCCCTTCCATACCCCCCCTCCGCGCCCCCAGACCTATCTTTCACTTTTATCTGCTTCTTTCCGCTCCCATTTCTGGTGTGGATAATCCCAGGATAATCACTGGACTGCCAACCGAAAGGATGATGGTTCAAACCTATTAGCCACTCCTTGGGAACCTTATACTGGGTTGCTATGAGTCGGCTGGTGTGGCGCTGTCGGTTAATGCGCCAGACGGCAAAGCCATTTGAACTGCAGGGTTGGTGGTTCAAGCTCACCAACTACTCCATGGAAACCCTATACAGGTTCCCTATGGGTCGGAACCAACTCGACGGCACTTAACAACAACAACGAATAGGAACAGACTCCACAGCACTTAACAACAACAACAAAAACCATTCTGTAATTATACACAAATCTAAAGTGTTTCAAACTTTTATTTTGTGAAATTATATGCGCAATTACAAAAAAGTGGCTGACTATTATTGGTATATTGAAAACCACACAATATGATATGATTTTGAAATTATTTCTCTTTGGTTAAAGAGAGGCGGTCCATTTTCGTTTTGCTTAAATGTGTATTTGAACAAGTTTGAGGTGGGGAGAATGCAGAAGATTGGTGAGTTTTTCACTTAGTGCAATTATTCATGATTTCATTGAAAACCATTTCAGTATTGTTTTGAACTTTGATGATGGGCCAGTTATTAGCTTTTTGCCACTGGGGAGAGACACACTGGACACTGTGGTCTCTTTTATATGTGGAGTATGACTTTAACACCAAGGGGAATGAGATAAATGACAAGAAGGTAGGAGGAATAAAGTGTTCATGGGAATTCCTGTCGTTCATCACTGCAGGGAAAAGCTGGGACAGTTTCAAGGAGAAGGAGGTGACATGTAGATGGACATCTAAGGATTTCTCCTGGATGTCTCCTGGCGGAAATGGCTAAGAGTACGAGCTGGGCAGTGAAGGCCAAGTCGTTTTGGGCTAGAGGACGGAAGTGGTGAGTGGTGAGTGGTTCAGCTTGGCTCATGTGGTACACAATATGCGTAAAGCTGGTGACAAGGATGAAACTTGGTCCCAGTGGATCTGGAAAGTATGAACTTTCTGAAAGCATGGGAGGCAATGATGAGTTTTAAGCAGGGAGTTGATGAATGGTTTTGTGAGCGTCTCTCCAAGTCAGGGATCTTGGCTCAGTGACCCTCCCACTACTGGGAAACCTTCAAGAGATGAGACTGCTTTGTTTTTCCCGGTCTTTCAAGTTGTCTGCCTATGAAAGGATACAGTTATACCACATTTCTATCACTCTATTATAAGCTGCTCCTTGGAAACCCCTATACAGGGTCGCTATGGGTCAGAACCGACTGACAGGACAGTACTTAACAATAACAATTAGTGGAAAGTACTGTAGTTTTTCTTCTCTGGCAGGTTTTCTCTTACTGTTCTGGTTTGTGCAGGTTTTACTGTATGTAGCAAAAGTGGTCAATAGTTATGAAATGACTAGTCAAACAACACTTTAGGGCTGTGCTTCCCAAACTTTAACATGACAGTCACCTCAGGATCTTGTTAAATTGCAGATTCCAGTTCAGTAGGTCCTGGGTTAAACCTGAGAGTCTGCATTTTCTTCATTAAATATATATTGTATTGTGTTTTTGGTGAAAGTTTACAGAGTAAATTAGGTTCTCACTTAACCACAAGTTCAGCACTTCACATCCACCAGCTGCTCTGTGGGAGAACCATCAGGCTTTCTGCTCCCATAAAGGTTTAAAACCTTGGAAACCCTATATAGGGTTGCTACACATCAGAACTGATTCATTGGCACCTGACAGCAGCAGCAGCAACAACATAACATATTGTTCAGTGACAGAAGTTACAACTTTTACAGCATGTCAGCATTCTCCTTATTTCAATTCTGGTGGTTCTGTTTCCATTAGTCTAGCTTCTCTGTTTCCCCTCCCCACTTACCTTCTCACTTTTTGGCTTAGAGTAAATGTTTACCTGATGTTTCATTTACATGATTGTTTAGAGGAGCACAGTATTCATGGGTGATAATATTTTTTTAATGGGCCAATTTGTCATTTGGTGAAAGGTGACCTCTGGCAGTGGTTTGAGTTTCAAGTTTAAAGGGTATCGCAGCTCAGTAATCTCAGGAGTCCATCTGGTCTCTACCATCTGGTCAGTAAGTTGGGCCTTTTAAAATGAATTTGTGTTTTGTTCTGCATTTTTTCTCTTACCTGGGACCTTCTATTGTTTGAGTCCCTGGCTGGAATGATCAGTAGTGGTATAGAGAATGATCTAGTGCTGATCTCAAGGTTAGTGATACTATTGTTTGTGTAGATTCTTCTTTCAGTCTTTGGCTTCTTACTTTCTTTTTGCTTTGGTCTAGTAGAGACCAATAGCTGTATCTTAGATGGCTGCTCGCAAGTTTTTAAGACCTGAGATGCTACTCACCAAACTAGGATGTAAAACAGTATCTTTATGGGCTATTTTATGTTAACTGACCAACTTGCCCCACAAGACTATAATCCTAAATCCTCACACCTAGTAAACCAATCCCATTAGATTTTTGGTTATAGCTGGGAAGTACCCCCTCTGTGCTTTATTTTCTATTTGCATGCAGTACACATAAACAGGTATATACATATGCATACAGATACACCTATACATTGTTGTTGTTAAGTGCTTCCAAGCAGTTCCGACTCATAGCAACCCTGCGTAGGGTTTTGGAAGAACAGCTGGTAAGTCTGAACTGAGCTCTGGTAGCGCAGTGGTTATGAATTAGGCTTCGAACCGCAAGGTCAGCAGTTCAAAACTACCAGCTGCTCTGCAGGAGAAAAAAGAGGCTTTCTGCTCCCGTAAAGATTTACAGCCTCAGAAACCCTATACAAGGTCACTATGAGTTGGAACTGACTCCACGGCACATAATCACAACCACCACCACTACCATATCCTTCTATTTGTGCGCAAACACTTGTCTTTACTAAGGTTGTGTTGTGCTCACTACTTCCAAATCGCCCAAAGTAACAGGTCTCTGTATTCTAAAGTGTACTTTCCCCTCTCCACCTCTTCGCCCTGGTAACTACCAGTGGACATTGCTTTCTCTCTATTTATCTATTCTTGTCTTCTACTAAAAGAGGGATCATACAGTGTTTATCCTTGTATACTTGATTGATTTAACGTAACATTATTCCTTTCATGTCTATTCATGTTGTGTTTCCAGAATCATCATTGTTCTTCATGGTTGCATTGTACATATGTGGATCCCTGGTGGTGCTGTAGGATAAGCACTGGACTGCTAACCACAAGATCAGCGATTCGGACCCACTGTCCTCTCCTCGGGAAAAAGATGAGGCTTTCTGCACCCATAAAGATTTGTTGTTGTTCGGAAACCCTACACAGACTGCAAACCACAAGCCTGCCAGTTGCTCTGCTGTGAGAAGATGAGGCTTTCTGCTCCCATAAAGATTTTTTTTAAAGCCTCATAAACTCTATCTATGTAGGGTTGCTCTGAGTCCTAGTGTGGTGCTGTAGGATAATGCACGGGACCGTAAGGTTAGTTTGAATTTTAAAGTCAGTGATTCAAACTCACCGTCCACTTTTCAGAAACACTATACAGGGTCATTATGAGTCAGAACCTACTCCATGGTACTTAACAACAAAGATGAGTTAGAACAGACTTTGAGTCAGAACCGACTGGAAGACTCTTAACAACAACAACAATACTACAATTTGCTTCTCTGTTCATCCATTGATGGTACTTAAGTTGTTTGTATTGTTTTGCTATTATAAATAAACCTGCAGTGGACATGTTGTTGTTAAGTGCCATCTAGTTGGTTCTGACTCATAGAGACCCTGTGTAGGGTTTCCCAGGAGTGGCTGGTGGGTTTGAACTGCTGGCCATGTGATTAGCAGTCCGTTCGTCTCTTATAGCATAATATCAGGATTCTAGTAAACACAGGAATGCATATATTTGTTCAAGTTAGTACTGTACGTTCTAGGGTGTATTCCAAAGGTGCCCTGGTGAAACACTGGTTCAAGCACTTGACTACTAGCCAAAGATCACAGTTCAGACCCACCAAGCTGTTCTACAGGAGAAAGATGTGGCTGTCTGCTTCCGTGAGGATTTACACCTTAGAAATCCTGTGGGGAACAGTTCTACTTTGTCCTGTAGGGTCACTTGAGTCAAAGTTTACATGAAGCAGCAGCTTCTTGGTGGAGTATATCCCTAAGAATATAATTACTGGATCATAAGGTAGCTCTGGAGTCCTGGTGTGGTGCTGTA